GGGCGGGGGGGGGGCATCCGCCGGAAGGCTCCTCTGAGAGGTGGTCTGTGTAAAATCACGGGCACGCTGGCTCCTTGCCAGGGAGCAAAAACCTCCCGTAGTAGCCACTGAGAGATGATGCTCGGTGGAGAAACAGTGGGAACAGGGACACCAGAGGCTGACGTCTCCCCCCTGAGGAAATAAATTCTAAATTCGTCACCTCCCCTCCAGCGCACAGGATGCCCCCTGTAGGGCAAGACAGGCCAACCAACCTCCCTCCCCCTCCCCAGGTATCCAGCAGCTGTGACTACGTGTTTGTGAGTGGAAAGGAGTCTCGCGGGTCCATGAACGCCAGGGTGACCTTCCGCTATGACCTCCTCAACGCCCCCCTGGAAATGACAGTCTGGGTCCCCAAGCTGCCCCTGCACATCGAACTCTCGGACGCACGCCTCAGCCAAGTGAAGGGCTGGAGGGTACCTATCCTCCCCGACCGGAGGTACAGCCCCTCCACACACAGTGGACACTCGGGATACTCATAGGTGGACTGATCCACGCATGTGTGTAAGACCCCAGGTGTATACAGTCTGCAGGTCGGTGATGCAATCAGCAAACTTTTATTGAGCAGCTTCCTGTGTGCCAGGCACTGATGGGTGCTTGAGACATGGGGTGAGTGTGGCCAGTGCCTGACCCGGCCACGCCATGAACATGGTAGACACGGGAAGTCCTGTGCGCAGGGAATCGAGTGGCACTAAAGGAGACAGCCACCTGTTCCTCCAGGAGAAGTCCAAGCAGGCTTCCTAGAAGAGGTGACTCTGGGTATGCCTCTCTGGGGCACGTCCTCCACTCACCCCTCATTGCTGCTGGAGAGGAAAGCCAGCAGGGCAGAGAGAGAAAGAGTGGCAGGCAGCTAAGAGGGGAGGGGAGGGGCTGGGGGAGAAGCAGGCAGCCAAGGGAGAGCTGGGCTCAGCTCAGTTCTGTAGAGATTGGGAAAAGCAAGGTCCGGTGGATTGGTGGATTGGTGGATCGGAACCTCTCAAATTTGAATGTGCACATGAATCCCCTGAGGGCCTGTTCAAATGCAGATTCTGACCCAGTAGGTCTGGGAGGGGGCCTTCTGCAGGGGAACCAGCCCCTGCCCTGCCCCGCCACCCCCCACTAGGTGCTGCTTTGAGTCATGATGGGAGAGTGAACTCTGCAGCCAGACAGGCTGGGTTTAAATCCTAACTGCTGTTTACTAGCTGGGCCACCTTGGACTACTTACATAACCTCTCTGTGCCCCCGTTTCTTCGTCCACAAAACAGGCACATTAACACTTACCTCATAGAATGGTTGTGAGGATTCATTAACACGGGCACAAGAGACCTGTGTGAAGGGATATTCTGGTTGCTGGATGCGTCCAGAGCAGTAGCAAAGCACGAGCCACGCCCTCTGCTCTCTCTCCAGAGCACGCTTCCCTGACAGTGAAATCTCCTGGTTTTAGCCTCTTAGGCAATCTGGATAGGCTGAATTTCCCAAATCCTCAAGTCCTGGCGCCCTTTTGCTTACTAGCGCCTCCCTCGGCTCACCTCTCTGCTCTCAAGTTTCACGATGAGCAGCAAGGGGAACCAGGCCACACATTCCACACGCTGCTTGGAAATCGAAATCGCACCAGCTAAACCTCCGAGTTCATCTGTTTGCCGCACGGCTGTAAGGATACAATCTGGCCGAGCGTTCTGGCAGTCTGTAACAAGGGCTGCCTTCGCTCCAGTTTAGAGCTGAGAACAGGGCCAGGCGCCTGGCGCCGAGAGAGAGAGAGAGAGAGAGAGAGAGAGAGAGAGAGAGAGAGACGGCACTTGTCAGGATTTGACATCAGCTTCTCCCGGGCGTGCCCAGCAGAGGCCGGGAGGCACAAGGGAGGGTCAAGGAGGTGCCTTTCTAGGGTGAAAGGCTGGGGGGACCTGGCCCAAGTCAGAAGACAGAAGAACGGGCAGGGAGGGGCTTGCCCCTTGCACCTGCCCCACCCACAGCTAAGGGTGAGGAAGAGTGACCTTGTGCCCCCGCTCTCAGGTCGGCCCGCGAGAGCGAGGATGAGGACGAGGAGGAAGAGGAGCGTAGGCAGAGCGCCAGCCGCGGCTGCACCCTGCAGTACCAGCACGCCACTCTGCAGGTGTTCACCCAGTTCCACACGACATCGTCCGAGGGCACCGACCAGGTGGTCACCATGCTGGGCCCGGACTGGCTGGTGGAGGTCACCGACCTGGTCAGCTTAATTTATGGTGGTTTACCCTGCGGGTACACGCAGCCAGGGACAGTAGCACGCTGGCGGCCTGGAGCCGACGCACCACGCCCTTCAAGGTAGGCACAAGGCCAAGGCCAGCAGCTCTGTGGATCTGCTGGCAGAGAACACAGACGCTCCCGGACGGATTCTAGGGGTTCTCAGTCTCACCCCAGCCGCCCCCAAAACACACTCTTCCTCACCCCGCCCCCTCTCTACCCCCCCCTCGGGCCACCATCACCAGAGGGGCGCAGCTCCTTCACTGCCTCCCCCAGAAGGCTCTCCTGCAGTTCTATCAACCTTGGCATCTACTCCACCTGCAGTAGATCGCCTCATGTGTTCCCCTGAGAGCAGGTGTGGATGTGGGAGGCGCGTGCAGAGGAGAGGGCCCAGAAAGGGAATTGGGACCTTAGAATTAACCAACTGACCTCCTACAGCTGGGTGCCTGGAAACCATCCATCTAAGAGGTTGTGAATAATGCCTTGGCTAGATTCACCCTTCACAGACGCAGATTTATCTGTAAAGCAGTGATCCAGTGTTGGAATCTTTTTGGGATTTCTTTCATTTTTCAAAGTAGATTTCTTGTTTTACAAAAATAATAGGCCTGTCTCAATCTGGCAAATCATCAGCTGGTCAGTACTGGTGCCTCCTTGACATGATGCGGAGTTCATCTGCCAAGGTCCCTACCTCCCCTTGTCTCCCCTCTGACATCGAGGCCAAACATCAATGGCTATTTATCGCTGTGGGGGTTGTTGTTGACCTTAAAATCTGCCCACCTGTCTCATCCAGGAATTCTGCTCATTTCTGGCGGTTTCGACCACCCGGCCCTGACCCCTGGTTGCTGCAGCCCCAAGGCAGAGTCCAAGAGTTCTCGGCCCCCCCAGCCCCACCCCCAGGGTGTACTTCCTGCAGCACTGGCTTTTCTTCCCAGGCTGGGAATTGGGGGGGTGCCTCCTTTTCGGCTCCCTTCTCGCCCATCCCTGCCCCACCCTGTCTCAGGTGAAACCCCTGGCTGACGGAGTCTGTGCTTGGGAGACTCTGCTGGGACAGAGGAGAAGGTCAGCATCACACAGCTGCAGGCCCAGGTGGTGGCCAGCCCGCCTCTCTCCCCTGCGCCCAGCCCGGGAGCAGCCATTATCCTGGCTACCACGTCAGCTTCAGCAGACCAGCTTCTCAAGCAGGTAACTGGATGCCTCAGCCGCCAATCTGGGGCTTTGGGGTGTGAAGGAAGAATTAGGCTTTTCCCTGGGGCCAGTGAGTCTCAAGTTAGGCTGAATGGAAGATCTGTCTGCCCTTGTGCCCCTCACACACCGCCCACCCCATTCCCCCCGCCATCTGCACCGAGTTCAAGCCAAGGTCCCGCTTGCATCTGCCACCAGAGATGCTCCTCTGCTGAGGGTTCTCCCCCCAGATTCTCAGAGAACTCCCCCTGCCACCTGTGCCTTCCTCCACCCCCAAGAATTACCTCCCCCTCAGCCATTCTTGGAGCCCCGTTACAGCTACCCCCCCCCCCACCCCCTGACAGATTCCACCAGGGCTTAGGGCTATGACAGAGGTACAAAGGTGACAGGCAGGAGCAGGGAGCTTAGGGGTTGCAGGCTGGTGGGGTTGAGCACTGCCAAGGGTCCCCTGCCCCTCAACTCCGCCCATGACCCCAGGCCAATCCTCCCCTTTCTCCCTGGGCCCTGTTTCTCATCTGCAGGAGGGCAGTGCTCAGAATGTTTTAACGGGAGGACAAGGTGGGGTGGGGTGTATGTTCTCAATGTCCACGTGTCTCATGGGGATGACCAAGGGTCATGGAGATATGGGGTTGCTCCTGCAAAGGACTTGAGGTAGACCCAACAGAGCATAAGACATTCAGCCCATCAAGGGCTAAGGATGTGCGGGCAAGGAAATTCTCAGGCCGAGTGAGGCCATGAGTTGGAGCCCTTGACGCTTCCCATTACAACCTCCAGAGGAAGACTCCCCTTGCCTCCTCCAATTTCCTCCTCCCTAAGCACCTGCCACCCGGCCAGGCACAGTTCCAGTGCTGGGACTACAGCAGGGGAGGCAGAGTACCCAGTCCCCAGTCCTCATAGAGAGCTCAGCACACTGCACCGGTATTCCCAGTGAAGCCAGCCAGACTAGCTCTCTCGACCCTGTCCCCTTCTCCTCCCTCCTCCTCCTCCTTCCAGGCTCCTCCTGAGCCTCTGGCTCTCCCACAGCGGCACCACAGCCCCACTCTCCCCTGTACAGCCCCCTGACTACTTTGGCCAAGCCGGTGAACAGCCTGATGAGCCGGTGGCCACGGTGACCCAGGACCGCCTTCCCGCCTGGTGGTGGCTCCAGGCCGCAGGGGGCGGGGAACTGCTTCTCAGGTGCAGAGCTCACCACTTCCTGCCTGAGAGCTGCCAGGAAAACCACAAGAGTGTGCTGGCCACTCACCCTCGTGGGCCTTCATGGTGCACTTTAAGGGATTTTAGAGGACCCCATCGCGACGATTGTAATCACTCGGCCCAGCTAGAATACCTGGGGCGGGCGGACGAGGGTCTGGGAGTCGCCCACCGGCACCGCTGCGCCCAGCGCCGAGGCTCCCGGCCCGGGCACCAGCCCGCGGTGCCGCCCACAGAAGATCTCCCGTCAGCTGCCCACCGCTTCTGCAGATGCCGCGCGGGCTCACGGACCTGAGATCGGGTGGCATGTAATGCTGCTGTTACGCCTTCGCCTCGCCGCCATCCTCGCCCTTTCCCTTTCATCAACTGCATCGCCTGCCGCGCCATCACCGGGCATTGCAGCGCATCCCCGCCTCGAAATAGACCAGCATGGACCACTCACCACTGGGTGTTCCTGGCAACGGCAGTCAGCTAAGGTAGGCGGAGTTGTCGTCACGTCATCGCTGGCAACCTGCTGGAGACGTCTGTGTCTGAAAGCTGCTAATGGGCGCATCACCACAGCAAAGTGCAGTCATACAGACCAGTAGCAGGTATCGGGCGGGCGACGGTTTGTCATGCTCGCCTGACCAGGCCGGGTGACCCCGCCAGCTCGCCACCTCTGCTGCTGCCAGCGCAAGTGGTTGCTTCACCACCTTTCGCCTAACACACGCTGCCCACGGAGGAGCTGGCCTATGACTCGCGCCCGCTGCTAAGAGGACGCAGGAGGCGAGGACTCCGTTGGGCTGCCACCCGCCCGCCCGATGGCGGGCACCACGCGGCCCACCGCGCCCCCAGACCTGCACAATTACATGCGCAGAATCAAAGATATGGCGTAGAGGCGCCGTCCCGCCCCCTGGGGGGGCTCTGTGTGGGACGCGACCGGGACCCCTGCTCACACTGACGCAGGCGGGCCGAAGCGGATGTCGTACTCCCTGCCCCTGCAGCTTTGCTCTGTGCTGGGCGGCCGCCTGCCCCAGCTGGGCCTTCCCCGCCACCACCTCGCACCATACCCAATTGTGCCACCGAAGGCGGAGGGCTCCTTCCTCAGGAGCTTGCTAGGAGGAAAGCAATCCTTGTTCGACTCTTTCCAAACCTCCTCCCATCTTAGACAACCCCCTGCCCCAAAAGTGAGGCATGGAGGCCAAGCTTGGGGTGAGGTGGGCCCACACTGTGCCCCGCCCCTGCCCCCCCCACGTCCCCTGTCTTCCCCCTGTGTGGGGGAGCTTGGGGGGGTCTTGTGTCACAAGCTGCACAAAGACTTTTCTCAAACCAATATTCAGGGATTTCTGTCCTGCAGGGTGGGGAGACGGCGGCTGCCTGCCCTGCGGAGGATCTTGCTGTGGACAAAACGTGGGGGATGGGGGAGACACTTGTAGCATCTGCTGGCTTCCGGGTGCCCCCCCCCCCCAGTCCCTTCCCAGGACCTGGGAGCTGACCCTACAGAGGGGTCTGGGACCATGCCAGGCACCTTCCGGAGATCTCAGGACTCCCTCTATCCCCACCGGCTGTGGGCGGAGCCTAGAGGGGGAGGAGCCCTGGGCCGGCCCTGAGCAAGCCACACCCCAGCACTGTGGTCTGAGCAGTCCCCGGGAGGCCCGGTCCCCCTGCTAAGCCCACAGCAAGGTCAACACTACGCCTTAGCCGCCCCTCTCGCTCTGCTGACCACTCCTCCCTCTCTGCAGGGGCAGCCACCCATCCCCCCAGGGAACGGAATCGGTGGGAGGGGGAGGGGGCACCAGGGGATGCTGTGGAGGACCTCGGGATGGGCAAAGGCAGCGGGGAGCCGGGCGTCTCCCTTACCCCTCCCAGCCCACAGCCACTTCTCTCTTGGGTTCTACCCACCACTGTGTCGGATTTTCTTAAATAAATGGGGCTGACCAGACTGGGGCGGGGCAGCAGCTCCCGGAGAACAGAAGGCGCATGGTGGCTGGCTCTGCGTCTGGTCCTTGTGCGTGCGTGTGCACACACACACACACACACACACATGCGCACTGTGGACACACTAAATGACAGAGATCGACATCCCGCTGAACCCGGCTGCCCCTTCTTCCAACATCCACATCCCTTCGGGCCCTGTCTTGCCGAAGGGGGTGCCCACGTCCGGCATGAAGGATTTGCTGGCCCACAAATGTGCCCTTACAGAGAGGTAGCTCCCCTAGGAAATGCCAAGGTTGCCTCGGGAGGGTGGGGCAAGCCTCAGGGCCTCGCCTCGGGCGAAAAGGCTTGGGGAGTGAGGGGGCACAGAAGAGTAAGGAGAGGGGTGAGAGCAGGTTGGTGTGCACACCTGAGCTGCTTCTGGATTCCCTCTCCACCTGTAGTCCACCTCCCAGAGACGGTCCCTCCCTGTCACTGTCACTGTCACCACCTCCCAGGGAGGCCTCTCTTCTGCATGGATTGATGAGGAAAGCCTGGGGCAGGGTCTCCATGTCCAAGCTGTAGGCAGGAGAGAGCGAGGGCTGTTGGGTGAGCACATGGCCTCCGACGGCCCTGGGGCACTGCTCCCCAGGAACTAGCAGCAGCCCCAGCCCGGAGGGGCACAGGGGACCTGGCCAGAGCAAGAGCCCAGCCGAGGCTGCCTGGCCAGGCTGCAGCACCCTGGACGGGTGACTACAGCCACCAACATCTGTTCCAGAAGGGACCAGGGAGGAGGCCCGGACCTCCCTCCTGGCTCAGAACCAGGGCTGCATTGGCACCCGTGCCCAACATGCTGTTGCCCACCACGGAAGGAAGCCTGCTTTCCTCAGTCTTCTGCTCAACAGATCATGGTGGCCCTGGGGTTGTTGTGAGGACCAAATGACACCACATATGCCCGGCAGGAGACTAAGCTCCTAGCGCACACCTGCTCATACAGGTTCCCAGCAAATGGAGTTTCTCAGGCCTCAATGTTCAGGATCCATTTGTTTATGCAACACATTAAGCTCCTGCCATGCACTGGGCCCTCCCGGGGAGTGTGGGGGCAAGATCATGGGCCTGTCCCCCAAGGAGCCCCAGCCCCGCTGGGAAGATGGACGTGTCAACTGACCACGGTTATCTGGAATGATTGATGCTACGATAGCTTTACCCTGGGTTGGTGGGACGCAGGGGAGGGGGGAGGAGACATTCTCAAACTGAGTTTGCTGAGGATGGGGCCAAGGGCATTCCAGGAAGGGAAGGGAGCGGGCATAAAGGCCCAGACGTCGCCTTCTCAATACCCTGTACTTTCTTTTGCTGCCGTGTCTTTGCGCATGTTTTCTTTCTCTCTATGCACATGCTTCTGGAATATGAGTCCCAGGTGGTAGGGGGAACACAACAAACATACGCAAAGTTGTGGAGGCCAGAGGCAGTGCGGTGGGTTCAGCATGGACTGGGGAGTCAGGTTCAGACTAGAGGTTCAGACGGTCTCTGACTGGGTGCCTACAGGGGCACCCAGCTGCGGAATTGTCAACTGCGTCGTCCTACCTGGGGATGAGGGGAAGGAGACACAAGCCACTGCTTGCCACCGAGACCTCCTTCCCTAATGAACCTCAGAGACCAGGCTGCCCCAGAAAACAAGGTGGAAGCTTCCACAGAGGTGTCTATCAGCATCCAGGCTTTCACAGACAGGGAAACTAGGACCCAGAGAAAGGGAGCCGTTGGCCAAAAGTCACACAGCAAACTTAATAACAGAGCCAGCGGCCTGCCTCCCGCTCCGTCCTATAATTTGTGTCCCTTTCTGTTCATCCCTCACCCCCTGTCCGGATGCGAGAACTCAGAAGCAATTGCTAGAAACAGCGAGCCCTGACCCTCGTGCAGTTCAAGAGGGAGCAGGCTTGGAGGGAACGAGACAGGACATTAAGTTAACAGCCCCTCTGGAATGGCCCTGGCACCGAACTTCTCTTTAAAAATTTGTCTTCAACCCCAAAAATGAATCGAGGGACCTTGTAAAGAATGGTTATTGACAGAGAGCTGCTCGGGGAGCACTGAGACACCGGGCCCATGAATCAGCTTGTGAGGGAAGTGAGATTTCCCAGACAGCCAGGCCTGGCAAAGGCAGAGCCAGAGGTACAGAAAAGCCACCTCGAGCCTGTCCCCACCGTGGTGCTCAGCTCCTTGCCCCACCCCACACCGCTGGCTCCCCACCCCCACCAGCCCTGCGTGTGTCTCCGTGCCTGCCTTCAACAAATATTGACAGGCACCTACTATGTGCCAGGCACTACGTTCCCCCTGAGAGAAGGCTTCAGGAGAAGAGGGAGAAGCCATGGAGCCCGCTGAGAAGGCTGAAAATACAATGCATGGGCCGGAGAAAGGAAACTCTCAGCCGAAAGGATGATTCTTCCCAAGACAGGTGGGCAAGGACTCCTGGGTCTGACAGTGCGTTTGCTGTGTGGCCTTCAGCCAGTGTATCACCAGCTCTGGGCCCCCGTTTCCCCTTTTGTACAAACATGGAAATCACTACTGCTAGGCCATGTCCACTGACCTCCCTCACAAGGCCCCAACTGTTTCAACACCTGTATCACTACAAAGAGTCTAGAGAGGTAGGAATTACTACTCCCATTTCCAAGAGACCATAACACAGAGAGGGCAGGCAACTTGCCAGTGGTCTCCAGCTCAGAAGTGACCAGGCAGGCAGCTACAAATCTATCCTCCTTCTGCTACCTCCTTAAGCACCATTGGCAACTGAAGGGGAAAGAGGTTGCAGAGATTTGGGGGAGGTTAAGAAGGGGGTCTCTAAAGATTTGATGGGCTGGGATGGGGGCAGCCTGTGGGGCCACCGTTCAAGGCATGGATAGATCACAGAAAGTGTCTGGGGACAGATGGAACATTATGAACACTATGACCTCTCTGCCATCGTCAGAGGGACAGTACTCGCCTGCTGAGAGAATTCTATGACTTGCCTCGTGGCACATAACGGATAAACAGCAGAGTCCGGATGCAAACCCAGATTACGTGGTTCCGAGTTCCAGGTCTTTCCGCTGCCCCGCGCCGCCCTCCTCAGCGGGCATCTGGACTCCAGAGGATCGTTCTGATGAGGCCGAAAGAACAGCCAGGCTGGGAATCCAAGGGCTTGGTGCAAGTTCTCGGCCATGAGTCTGGCATGGCCATGTGTGGAACAAGCCAGGACCCTCAGCTAGAATCCAGGGGTCAGATGGTCCCTCCAGTCCCTTCAGTCTTGACGCTTTGTGTGTCTTCAGGTGGGAATCCCTGGGCACCACCCAGCCCTGCCAGGCCACACCTCCCCCACCTTTACCCCCTTATAGAGATAGCTGCTGTGGGGTAGAAGGGAGAGTAATGGGCCTCAGCGGTCCTCAAAGCTCTGCCAGCCTCTACCCGACGCCAGCACGGGTTTGGATTGGCCATGTTGGGGTGGGAAGAGCACAGTGAAGGAGCAAAGGGGGGTGGGAACCGTAACTATCCCTGTGTGCGCCAGACAGGCAGTGGGTCTCAGGGCTGAGACAGAGCGTGAAGCGTCCCCTGCCCACAGGGAGCTCCCAATCTGATGGCAGAGACCAGAATCTGTTCCACGGGAGCTCCCGGTCTTGGGGGGGGGGGGGGGGGGGGAAGCCACCTGCCTGTGACGAACGCCCAGTCTGATCAGGGCAACAGGTCGCACCCTGAAGAAAGGACATCATGCATTCAGAGAGATATAAGCACTGAGCCCACAGAGCAGAGGGGATGAAGTGGACGTGGAAAGCAGACAGCTCATCCAGGAAGGCAAAGGGGAGTGTCAGTGGCGCTGAGGGGAGTTGTGAGGAAGGGTCTACCAGATGGCTGGGACTGGGAAATCGGGACCTAGCACCCAGAGGTTTGGGAGATGGGATGGATTTCTCCTGGAGGAAAGGGATGGAGTCCTGCGAGGTCCTGACCAAGAAGAGTGGGT